CGCCGTGCAGACAAGCGTGACCAGATCTGGAATGAGTGGATGAAGGAGGTGCGTGAGCACGCGGGGTGCTTCGGGGCGTGGGGTGGTGCTGACCGGCGCATGGCGGGGCTGTGCAGGCGAGGGACGAGGTGCGTGGTCTGGTCATCGTGTATTCTGCGCGCCGTTCAAACGTTCTCGTCCGCGGCAGGGCAACGCGCGGATGGACTTCCGCTTCGCGTATTGATGGACCGCGGTGGGGTCTTCAACACAAGCGTGCGCTCGAGCTTTGAGCCTCCTGCGCATCAGGCCGTTTGGACAGGCGGTGTATCATAGGATTGTGACAAGACTATAGACTCGAGCGTACATACCTCCAGAAAACTCCGGGAGCGACGTTCGCGCGACCCTCCACCTCCGAGCCCGCTCAAAGCCCATGATGAACCCCGTGACGCACGCACTCGGGCCGCTATTGCTTTCGTCCTCCCCTTGTTGTCCTAGTTTGTGCAGAAGCTTGTACACGCTCAGACGCCCCAGGTGCGCCAACGAAATTCCAATTCGAATCAGGTTGGAGGCGCGCACGCGGCGTCGGCGCCTGTCTAAGCGCGTGCGATGGTTCTGATTGGACGGTACCACTGGCAGTGGCACTTGACACCCACGCCGAGTGGCTCAGCGTGTGGCAATCTCGCCATCCCACCCCCCATCTCCTCCCTCCTCCCGACGCTCGCCACGCCCTAGGGGCGCGTGTGCGGTAAGTGGTTTGAGAGCACCGCGCTCATGTTTCGATTTGTCTACTTATCAGCACAGCCTGAGCCCCCGTCCGAGTATCTGCGGGGATCGCGCTCCTCATCCAAGGTTCGGATCCGCCGGGGACGCATACGAACACCTACGTGGAATCCTAGGAGTCAAGCATGCTGCAGCGCGGCCCCGGTCCGCGTCTTCGTCTTCGCAAACGGGCACGCGGTTTCTTTGTCCTCGTCCACGCAGACGCCTCCATCACGAACGCGGCTGCTGCGAGGCAGCGGCACCTCGCCACGCACGCCGCCACGCGGTGGGACTCACGTCGTGGCTACGGACCTCTCTGGCCGCTCTGGGCGCGGACGGACAAGGTACGGACGCACGCGTACGGACGCCGACATTCGCACACATCTTGAAAAGGGACACCACCGAGCTCGTGCACCAGGTCGGGGAGATGCGTACTGATGGGCTAAGCGTGGCGGCAGACGGACGGATGGCAAAGGGTGAGCAGGCGCACGCGCACCGATGGGGGGCGTTAAACTGTACTGTAATGAGTCATGGAGTACTGCTGGAATGAATACATGAACGATGCACCTCCACACCTCCAACCTCAACAGACCCTGCCGTCCTCGTCCCTGTCTCACACACCATCTCCCGCGTCGATTTCGACTTCCACAACGTCGAAGAGCAAACCCTCCGTGCCTACAGCGCCGAAGAGCGCGAGGTCCTGCGCATGTCTCACGACGACCCGCTCGACGTCGACCCGGACCCCGAAAGCTCCGTCACGACCTTCTGCCCCTTCGCCGTGGTGGCCCGCCATCCGTCGTCATGGGTCGTCATGGGCTCGGGGGCCACGGAAGGTGGACCTGGTAGGTGACCCCGCCGAACACGACCGGCCCGTCAACCAACATCTCGAGCTCCGTTTGGTCGTACAGCGCCGTCGGAGGTGGCACATATGTGCTGACGACCGCAGTCGGAAGGAACTCGAGCCGGAAATAATCGTCCCACTCCGCCACTCGCCACTCGAGCCGTTCCAGGCGAAGACCGCTCGACGCTCGGCTGCTCAGCATCCTAACGAGCTCTGCCAGGTCGTCTCGGACGCCCGTCGAGATCGTCTCCTCCCAGCCCGATGGGTCGGCTTCGATCAGCCTCTGAACCGAGTCGCGCACTCTAGGGAATGCGACGACGAGGGTGCGCAGATGCTGACAGTTCAGACTGTCGCTGTCCGAGTCCTGGGGTTCCCGTCGAAGTAGCACCGGCAGGGCAGTCGACACGCATTGGCCGGCGAGGTCAAGCGACGTGAGATTGGAGAGAGCGTGGAGGACTGCGCGAAATTCGGAATGGAGTTTTTCTTCATTCTTGTGGATAACAAGCCGCGTGATGTTCACACCGTACTTGTGGAATACGGGGGCGCAGTCCGGGGCGACCGGCCAGGCTCCCCATTCCGATGTTGAAAGCACGAATCGAGTGAGCGCGACGTCGTCCTTGAACGCAGTGATCTCGGTGAACATACATCCGCCGCTGTGGCAGGAGTCGCAGATGCGTGCCATGTCCGCGTTCTGGATACATCCCTGAAGGTCCTCGTGGCTGCCGACCAAATGTGATAAGCTCATGTCTGTTGCGATGACTTCGACGGTGGTGGAAAGTGGGAAGGAGAGACACCGGAGGTAGAGGTGCGGCACGGGATAGAGACCGGTGTTGATAACGACGTTTTGCAAGGCGGGCATGGTTACTCGCTCGACGCTGCTCCATATAGGCGAGTCGGAATCAGGAAGATAGTCCATGACCGGATCTCTATCGACGTCTTGATGATCGTTATCACAGTCCCACTCAAGTTCTCCGCCAACTATCCAGAACTTGAGGCGCTCAAGCGCGGGACACCGAGTCAGCGCTCTGGCGAAATCGGTGGGGTGGTCATACGCGAACTGTGCGGGGGTGACGCACACGTCGCGAAGTGTAGCAGTGGTGAAGTGCGGGAAGAGGTCGATGGGAATGCACCGGATGGTGTGGAGGCGAGGGAGGGCTACGGGGTCGAGGACCGGGGCTCGTGTATAGTCACTCCAAGCCCGTAGATCGCTCTCGAGGTCCTCTCGTATATCGTTTCGAGTGATACAAGTGCGACCAAAGTCGTCGTCGTGTGCGTCTTCGCGGAGCGGCAGCCAATCCTTATACATCCCCACGAACCCCGGGAATGTGATGCCGAGCACTTCGAGATTGGGCGTGCCCGAGTTGAGGAACTTGCATAGAGTGGAGAGGGTAAATGAATGGTCGAGGCGGACATAGAGATCAACAAGGCGGGGAGCGTGTGGAATGAGCGTGGTGATGAAGTGATCGGGGAAGTGGTAAACTTTGAGGCGAAGAGGCTGAGGAGAGGATTGTTCGAGCGCAAACGTTGCGAACTCGCGGCGGCTGGATCTACATCCCTGGTATTGAGAGAGCAGCTTTCCAGGTGCAGCGAGGGCGGCGGTCCACAGGCTGGGAGTCTTGAGCGCGATTGAACGCCAGTGACGGCAGACATGAGCAACGGCAATGCTTTGAGGGTCCCGCCAACAGTGTGAAAAGATCTCGGAGAGAACTTCTGTGGGGAAGGCGCGGTGGATGGGCGCGACGGCATTGTAGATGGAGAGGAGGGCGAGGGCGATGTCGCGGTACTCTTGGGCTCGGGGGACCACCCATGCGCGCACAGCGTCGTCAGACAGACCGGCTAATGCAGCATGGTCTGCAGCGGGGATTGAGCACGAGGGGAAGGGGACGGCGACAGTCATGAAGCTTGAAGAGCAGGTCGGGTTTCGAGTTCGAACTTCGAACAGTTGGTAGTTGGGATGAAACTTCGGTAGCAGGCGCCAAGTCATGGCTGTCTCTCTCCCTCCTCTACCATCTGGCTTGCTCGTTCAGCTCCTCACCTGCATTCTCGCACGGTCTCTTGCTCTTCATGACGTCTGCTCTCCATTCATCCAGCTCTCTTCAAGACATACGTATCTCCAGGCACACGTCGAGCATCAGCCGGTTTCTGACCGCCGTTAGGAATGAGGGGGAGGGAGACGGGATGTCGGAAGTCCACAGGTCACTGCGCGTACGTCTCACCTTCGCCGCCCTCTTGCGCTCTCTCGCTTCCCAGTATTGTCGCACTTTGTACACCCGATGCGGCGTTGGAATACATGGCTGTTGCATGTCGGATTGACTTGGTCAATATGTGTCGCATCCACGCAAGCAGCGCGTCATTCGGGTCGTTCGTAGACAGGACGTGGTACGCACTTCTTCTTTCGTTCTCTTTCAACGTGCGCCGCCCCTGCACGTCCTTGGGAAATGCACTCTCGTGCCGCAAGATCCATCGCCGTGTCTCCAGTCGCGGTCGCGCTCCGTGCGCGATGCTCACTTGCGCCCGGTGAAGACGTTCCCCTGCGTCTGAACACGTAATACCCCCACCTATGTCAAGCATACCTTATCATGCCCGCAAAGATCGACAGTGTTCGGTGAGGATTTATGTCGTCAGCTTACCAGTGGGGTGGTATATGTAGCGGCTAACGAGGGTCATCGCACGCTGATCCGGGTCTCCATCTACGAGTCACGACGAGATGGGCAGCCATCCTCGGATGGAAACGAGACTTCCATGCGTTCGCAACCCAGGTATGCAAGCAAGTTCGAACGTCCGACACAGACACTCACAACGTTGCTCTCGCAGAGGTGAGCATGACTGCGATGGACATCAAGTCTGGTGGCACGCTGTTCGAGCAGGACTGGACGGGGCCGGTGTTGCAGTTGGGGGAGGGCTGGGCGACGGCGGGTCCGGGGAACGCGAGGGTGGAGAAGGCGAGGACGTGGGGAAGTCGACGGGGGAAGGAGGGGTGGAAAAGCGAGAGTGCCTGAAGCAAAGGATGGAGGTTCGTGCGATGGATGCCGACGAGACCTTGATCCTTGGGCAGGTTTCGCGCGAGGGCTCGCGGCATAGCGACGCGGCGACGGGAACGTCAAACTTCGAAGTTGAACGGCACGGTTAAAGACGTGCATCCGCGGGTGCGTCCAGGATTTACATCCGCGTACTGCCGCTTGGCCGAGGCAACATTTCAAGGGAGTCCGTTCGGTGCGTTACCGTCGATGTCAGCCACTTTTGCGAGTGAGTTTACTATGAACCCAATCTATTGTCGACTTCTGGCTCAATCGCTCGCAGTTGTTGCACACAGGATGGGTACGATACGTGAAGCATGCATTAAGAGGAAACGTAAGATCATCGATCAAGACATCCAGGCATAACAGCTACGGCATGACCATTACGACGCGAGACTGAACGCTTAGAGCGTGACCGGGACACAGCCAGCGGACACGCCGCCACCCTATAGATCACCATGTGAGCGCACAATACTATCGTGAAAACGCAGAAAGACTCACGATGTTGTTGTTCTTGCAGCACACCGTGTTGGTCGTGCAAGCGTTGCCCGACCCGACAGCGACCACGTCGATCGGTGAGCACTTCAGCCCAAGCTCCACGTTCGTGTTCTGCAGCGTCGCACCAATCGCTGCCAAGATCGCAGAACCGGCAGCCGAGTTCGCCTAGACACATCAGTAATTTCCCAAAGTCCTGTGGGGTCCTGTGGGGTCTGACCAGGGTTCCCAGGAACCCAGGGATTTCGCTCCGGGCGTCCGGGCATCCAGGCCGTCTCCGGGTGTTCAGGGCGCCAGGCCGGCCAGTAAAGTCAGGGATTTCAGGAATCTGGCAGGTGTGGGGCATACAATTACATTTATTGTCACGGATATACTATCATACATGTAGGCATACAGACTGGTACAACTTGGTGCGCGTCCAGGTCCGAGCCTCACTTCGTCGGCGCGACCGTGGGCAGTGGCACAAGTATCAGCAGGCATGACCATGAAGTAGTCCTCGTCCTCCGACGAGACTGAGCCATCGCCCGCGCTCCTGGACCCGAACCCGCTCCCCCGGTGGCTACGCGCTAGTACGAGTGCGTGGAGAACAGCAAGGGCGGCGTACGCAGGGAGTGATGCGGGGAGACCGTGCGCGGGAGCGCCCCGGCGTTCGTCCGGGTCGAGAGCGCAGACAGCACCCAGCGCAGCTTCGGCGGGAGCCGCTTCACCTCGTGCACGAGGAAGGTCTTGAGCCGTGCTCCACCGAGGGGAAAATTCCGTGCGTGCGCAGGTGCCGCTTTGCGTTCGACCGGACCGCAAACGGCTTTGTGCACGTCAGGACCGGGCACTTGAACGCTGCCGGGGACAGAGGAGGGTGAGCACGGACACCGACGAGAGCACAGCACGAGCACGCACGTTTCGCGCCCGCGTGCGAGTTCATGTGCATCGCGAGCCCGCTCGGCCGCGGGAACATCTTGAAGCAGACCGTGCACTGGTGCATCTTGCGCTTCTTCGCCGGCCCCCGCTGCTCGCCGACCCCCTCGCCTGGCGGCGTCACCAGGCTGCCCTCAGGCTGCTCCCGCTCCGACTCAGGGCTCCCCTGCACCTGACTCTGGTGCTGCTCGAGGTGGTGCTGGGGCGCCTGCGCGAGCGGCGCGTGGTACCAGTCCACGTCCCGCCGCTGCACCTCCGACGCCGCCGATGGCAGCGACGACCCCTCCGACTCCCGGTCGTCCTCGAACGCGTCCTCGTCAAACCCGAGCCCGGGCACGCTCGACGGGCTGATCGGCTCCATCGTGCCCACACCCGCGCCGTCGAACGACTCGCGCCGGTGCGCGGACATCCGAGTCTGCACATGCTTGGTGGATACAGTATGGCTGCCGGATGCCCTCACTGTAGCGCGCGATCCTCGCCATCGCGCTGCAGTGCTGCCAGATTGGGCCCACGTCATCGTGCACGGCGAGGTCAAATGTGAGCTCGCGCGACGGCACCGAGACGGAGGTGATGTAATTCACCGGCCTGATCTCGCCCGTTCCGTCCATGGCGACGGCTTTCAAGTGTCCCGCGCGCCGTTGGGGTGACGGTGACAGTGCAGTTGCTATTGCTCGTGTTGATGTCCTCGCGCGAGGCCATGGGCGTATATACGCACCACACCTCTCGCCCACGTTGTGTAAATTGACACCATCGCATCAGTAATTTTGCACGCGTCTGGCACAGCTGTCGCGTCTGTCAATTTCGCACGCAGCGGCCACAGTTCAGCAGTTGAGCAGATGAACAGTTCGGGGCCACACAGCTCCAACAGTTACGCAGACAGACAGACGGTCTGGGACGCCGACAGATAACCTAGCTGGCATATTACCTGGTGGGTGTGATTATTCTACAATGGACTCCCGCAATCGGATACTAGGATTGTTTCTATTGGGCGTATCGTACACTAGTACACGGTGTCTACGAGCTGTGATCGAACTCCAAGTCCGTGCTTGTCAGTGCATGTGCAGCCAGCACCGTCTACTGATCGACGCTGTCGCGAAGACCGCAGACTGCACGACCGAAGGTTGCGGGGCGACCTTGCAGTGCCTTCAGTGCTCACCAACGGGCCCCAAGTCCGCAAGCTCGGGCGGCGAGCCCATCGGGATCGCCGTGGGGTCGCGGGAGTGTGCCGGGGAGTCTCCGAACGCATACGAGTTCCAACCCCCGTTGACCCACCGTCCATCGAGTCCGCACAATCCGAGACAAACCGGCCCACCGCTCGCTCATGCCCCACAGATGACGACAGTGCAGAGACAGAGCACTCAACGGTAGCTGTGTGGAGCTCGAGTTCGACCCAGTTTGTCCTGGCCGTGCGATGCACTCCCATTGAGCATGGCGTGCCGGTCGCGACGCTAGCAGAAGAGGAGCCCTCGCCGGCGGCGCTGCCACATATCCGCGGGTCGAGCTTATGTACAAGGCGTGGATGCTGGTGGTGCTGTGAAACGTCGGGTCCCACTCGTCACTGTCATCGCCCGAGGCTTTAACCCAACCGCTGCCCCCGCGGCAGCCAACGAGCCGGGCAACGTGAGGGCGAGACAGACAACGTGGGGGCGGCGCGAGTGACACGGCGACGCGTGGGCAACGCAGGGTTGAACGCGGGCGACGGGACCCCAGTGATGACATGGTCGCAGGGGTGGGCGACATTAGTGAACGTGTAGGCATCCGTCACCGAGTCCGAGGGTCGTCCGTCGAGGTGTTGCGCTCCGCGAGGGCCACGGTGGGAAAAGCGGTGGTGGGGCGATGCGCCATTCTCGCGGTTGTAGTCCTGGTCACAATCTTGCGGGGAGCAGACACTGCTCAAGGGAAGCCCGTTTGGGCCAGGGGTGTGCGGTGAACGCAGCAGTGTGGTGGACACAGCGGTCTGAGCCAGAGTGTTGGGACGATGCAGCGGGGTTACGTACCTATCGCAGACGGTGCCCAGCGGGTCCCTCGGCCCTTACAACCACTTTCTCGAGTCACTTGCCATCCTGGTAGCGGACGGCGAGTCCACGCAGGCAGCAGATCTTGGTTGTGGATCACAGGAAATCTGTCGGCTCGAGGTGGTGCCGATGAGGATGGTTGAGGATGGTGGAGGCGAGGACAGCGTGAGCGAGAGTACATGGGCGGCGGTGACTCGAAATGACAATGCGCAGGACTCGGTGTCTGCTGGCAGCTGCGGTGAGATCACGTGGATTCCCAAATAGTCGTGCGCTGTGCGCCAACGCGCCAGCAGATCGCTCTTCTGCTGCTGTCTACAACATGTCCACGGTGCTGCCCCCTCCACCGAATCCAGCCGTCTTCGAGCTTCGTTCATCCACCTCTTATCTGTCTCCCCTGCCTGCTTGTCCGCTTCCTCGCATTGCTCCCTCGCACACTGTCACCCAACCCACCAGCTTCTCTACTCGGCGCTCGCCCATCCCTACTATGCTTGTGGACACAAATGGTACGTCCCCACTGTGTTGCATGCAGGCCCGCCATCTCAAAAGCTGGGGAAGCTGGCTGTCCCATCCGCCTTGCAAGTCACTCCGTAGACACGCACAACGAGGGCCTGGGCTGATGCGACCTCGTACGTCTCCAATACTGCGCTTCCTTTTGCCGTGCCCCGCCCCTCACCTCCCACCACTCCTTCCTCCCCGCAGATATCACGGCCGGGCACACTATGTCGGGGAGACGGCCCAGCCCTGTTGTCGCCGTCACGGCACCATCCCTGCGATCACCGTCAACTCATGGGCTGGCGGTGCGGAGGCTAGCGGAGAGGTACGGCACCACGTCAAACAAACGCGAATAGGAGGTGGTGCGGGAGCCCAGTGTGGACCTGCGGTATGTGGTGTCGCCCTCCGAGACGCACTGGCACACCCGCTGACACCCCGACTATCCCCCTCACCCTCGCCTCAACCTTTACAGGACGTCCACGTACTGCACACGCTGCATGTACCCACGCAGCCACGCCAGCACCTGTTCGTGCTTCTACACCATCCATTCTCGCGCTCTCGGCCTTGCCGCCTCGCCAGCTCCCCCTACGCGGCGCGGTGCTTTCTCGTGCTCCCCTGCCGCTGTACGTCAAACACGGCCGCCTCGCCCGCATTCGCCTTGGTGCGCGTGCAGCCCTTGCGCCTGCAGAGTGTTGTGTTCCACCGGTTCCAGGCCCCGGGTGGAGTGGTAAGGAGGAACATCGTCGCCTGGTCAGTGGTGCACGAGGCTTGGTGTGGGCACGAGCGTGCCACGCGCCCTCCGCGCGAGGCGTGGCATGTGCGCACTGACGTCCACCTCGGTTGAAACTGCGATTGAGGACATCCGCACTGATGCGTGGTTCAGCCAGTACGAACGCTCAGACGGAGGTCTTCGCGCGTGGCTTGATGGAGTGTTGTTTCCCCTCTCATTCGCAAGTAGTCGCTGTTATGGCATTCTCGTCACTATGTATCTGTCGTCATACTTTCGCTCGTGGTATCTTGATAATGCAATTAATTTATTCCATTAATTCCGGTCCGAATTTGCGTGCTGGTATCAAGAGCCACTGACGAACTGCTCCGTCTGTTCTGTCTGCGCAACTGTGGGGGAAGACTTGGCGGTCAACTGCTCAACTGCCAGGTTTTACTGTCCGTCTGTCATCTGCTCGTCTGTAAGGCACTGTCCGTCACTGTGACAGACGGACAGTGCCCAGCAGACGTGTGAAAAATTACTGATGCGCGCCCGGCATGGTAGTCCTGGTGGGTTCATCCCGCCGCACTCAACGCACTCATCCCACCTCGCTCCACATGTCCGCATTCAATAGGTACCGTACTATCTGAACATGTATGTAGATTACCACCTACACAAACTACTGTACTGGCTGATTAACAGCGTGAGGCCTGAATCCGGCGCTGGGCATCCTGACGCCTGAAACCCTGTGTGCGCCGGGCGCCCTGAGTCCCTGTGCCGCCCTGTGCGCCCTGTACGGTCCCGATTCCCCTGGATCCCTGAAATCCCTGAAATCCGGGGATTCAGGGATCCAGGGATTTTGGAAGTTACTGATGCAGAGCCATGGATCAGACTCACGTACTCGAACAGCACAACGACGGCACTCACACTCTCCAGGCTCTCGCAGCACTGGACGGGGCCAGTGTTGCACTTGGTGGCCACAGCGAGGGCGGCAAACGCGAGGGTGGAGACGACGGCGAGGCGGGCGAACATGGCGATGAGTGAGGGGCGGAAGGTGAGAGCGGAGAGGCGAAGGGCTGAAGCTGGTAGGTGCTGAAGTCTGGCCGAGTCCCAGCGGGGACTTATATACGTTCTGCTGGGGGCCCGTGCGCCAACGTTGAGGCAAGCATCGGAGCGGAGCGCACACCTACCCGTGTCTTCCCAGCGGACGAGCCGGGCGCGACGCGACGCGAGTGTCATACCGGATTGCTTCACGTGATCGCGTACGGGCTAGCGTCGGCACCAGTCCAACTCAGACGAAAGCGTGGGTTCGGCCGAAAGGATGGTTCGCGGAGAGGTGCGTACGCATGCACCCCAACGTCCACACTGTTGACCTGCGTTTCTTCGCAGGGAGGAGACGATCATCGTGAACCGCGTGCTGCGCGACGACCCGTCCAAGTCGGACATGCACAACCGCCAAGGGCTGTCGGTCAAGAACCTGTGAAACGCGATCAAGGACCGGCGCATGTGGCCCATCTACTACGCCCTCTGCCTTACCTTCCTCGGTATGCCTGCGCGTCGCTCTATCCCTCCCTCTCTCGAAACTCTCTCATGTCTCCCTGGCAGTCCCCGTCACCCCGCCGCAGACGTACCTGACGCTCTCGCTCCGGAACCTCGGCTTCACCACGCCGCAGTCGAACCTGCTCTCCGTGCCATCGAAGGTGCTCGGCGTGCTCCTCCTCCTCGCCTCCTGCTACCTCTCCGAGATCATCGACTCCCGCGTCGCCGCCACCGTCCTGCTCCAGCTCTGAGCGCCTCCCTGCTCGTCGCGCTCTAGTCGACGTTCAGCGCGCAGACGAGCCCGTGGGGCGCACTTCGCTCGTCACGGGCTTCCCGTACGTGCGCCCGGTGCACGTCGCGTGGGCGTCGAGGAGCTCATCTGGAGTCGGGACGTGGACGGCGTCCGCGTCGCTCTCCACCATGTTCGTGCAGGCTGGCGGGATCGTCGCGGTGCGGAGTCAAGGGGATTCTGTTCCGGGCAGACGTGTACCGGGACGACGACAAGGCACGTCGCCCCGCCCAAGCTCGGTTTGCGCTCCGCATCCCCGCGGTTGCTCACGGCCTCCTTTTCGTTCTTGACAGCCTCTCTGTCAGTGACCCGGCGCACCGATGGGATGCGCCCAGGTTGACACGGCCGTGCAGACAAACGTGGGAACC